GAGAGGAAGGATTTTGCTTGCTAGGCACAGTTTTATGGTGGCTTTTATTTTACTCTCCATGCGTGTCCCATAATGGTGGTTATTGTCTGAAGTCCGGTGCTGGAGTCAGGTGATGATTTGAGCATCTCGGCTTCCGTTTTCATTCTTGTCTTAAATCCCTATGCTTATTACTAAAGTCTAAACATACGACCTCGTGTGCCCCAAGTGCTTTAGCCATTAGAAGCAGAGAAAATTCTTTGCATGATATTTTTTGATATAAGAACTAATTTCATGGTCTTTGTGACTTCTTTTTGGTTTGATTCCTATTGTCTGGCTGTTTGTGGAGGATGGGGTCTTGTGTCCTTTGGGGATGCAAGATATTTGGGGGCTGAACGGAGCAGAGCAGGTCTGAAGGAGTCAGTGATATCTCATAGAGAAAGTCAGGGCAGCACGCTCGGAGGAAGGGGGTGTAAAATGCTTCTTGTGTTTTTCACTCGCTCCTGGTTGCCTTGTAGCCAGCTTCAGGCTGGGGTAAAGGAGAAATCGGTGGTTTGAGAAGGGAACGATCCCACTGGAGCGGGAGATGGAGCAGGGCAGAGACCTGTGGAGGGAGCGTGCCCTTCACCGGGAGCCCTTGAGCCCCTGTAAGGACTGGCCCCGCTCAGGCACTGTAGCTCTTGCCAGATTTGTTCACAAAGGCCCTGGAAGATCCGCTAAATCCTGGGCTCTCGGCATTCTCTGCTCGGTAATGCCGAGTGCAAGACGGCAGGGCTGGGCGCTGCCAGCCCAAATCCAGCCCTGCTGCTCCTGGGCGTGCGCCACCCCTTGATCCTCCCCTTCTCCCAAACTTACTTGTGCCTTGGAGAACGCAGTTGCTTGCAGCAGCCATTGACTAAACCTGTGACCTTAGGGCAAAGCATTTAAAAACAGATGTGTCCATCTTCCCTTGCACGAGGCTGCTTCAGTATTTAAAGTGAAACTATTGATGCAGGAAGCAGAAAAATATATCTGTGAAAAATTGAAGTCCAAATACTGGCTTTAGCTCATTCAGAGCAATAAGAGAGCATGAAATTGATGTGAATCCTCAGGGCTTTCCTGGACAGTGTGTGAGCCCATTGCAAAATGTTTATTGTAAAAGATCTTCTAATTGCAATGCCTAAAGTGGGCACTTCTGTCCTTTTGAACAGCTTTGGTATCTTGTTTTCTCTAGGCAATTATAAGCAGCGGATACACAAAGAAGGACAGGGATCGTTTCGGCAGGAATCGGAATGCCTTAAACAAACGTGATGAATGAATTGATCTCTCCCTCCCGCCCCTTTTGATTTTCCAGTTGACTTCAGAGAGCAGAGGGCTCGGAGGGAGCCGGGCTGGCACCGGCTGCGCTCCCTGCCTCTCCGGCAGTGGGATCGTCGCTGGGGGTGGGATCCAGAGCACACTGCAGTCGATGCTCCTGTTGACTTCAAGGCGCTCTGGTCTGGGCGCCCATTCCTGGCACCCAGTTACCTCCAAGCCACCTGTTAAAAATCAACCGGGAGCGTGCAAGCCCCTCGGCAGCTGGCTACAGGGTGCAGAGAGCCTGCTGATACCCCACAGCCCTCCCTGGCCCCTGGGGTCCCCCCACGCCCAGCAGTCCTGCATCCCTAAAGCCACTGCTGTGTCTCCCGGAGAAGCCTGCACTTGCCAGGCCTTGCTAAGGGAAAGCAGCGGCACTGGCACGTCACACGCTGGGCTCTGCCGGTTAACGCTTCTCCTTGCCCCCTGCTCCGGCCCTCGGAGGTGTCCCCAGTGCCCCATGCCGGGGTCCCCGTCAGTCAGAGCGGGATAGATTGCATCCACCTCTGCTGCTGCCTGGGGAACAGCACCCGGGAAGGTGCCGCTGGGACTCAGTGGCTGCATTCCACCCTGTTTTAAATGCTGATGCCAGGGGAGGGGAATGTGTGGAGGCAGACAGCCTTGCCAAAGCATCAGTGTGGTCTGGGGGACCAGCAAGAGGCTCCATGGACAAGCAGGTTCCTTCTCGGGGCCTGGAAACCAGCAAAAGTGCCTGCTAATGCTTTCCTCTTCACTAAAGAGCCACAGATACCTCAGCTCTCAAATTTCAATAAGATGGTGTGACAACACAGGCAGAAGGGTGGTAGAGGCAGAAGTTTCTTGCAGTACACGAAGTGGGTTCAGTGTTAATTGCACTGTCGCTGTAGTCCTACTCTTTGAAGTCTTCTGGTGTAGAAGTTTATAAACGGTGGGAGGTGATAATACAGTGTGACCGAAGTGCTTAAATAATGCTCTAGGGTTGGTACAAGGGGAATTACAGAGATTAGTGGTGGAGCTTGAGACCAGAACCTGCGAGAGCCCGGCTGCACCCTTGGCTGTCTGCAGATGTCTTTCTCAAGCCATTTTGCTTCTTTGTGCCTCGTTTTATCCCGTCTGTGACGTGGGGACAGCATCAGCTGCCGATCACTGCTGAGAGGTTCGGGAGCAAACAACCACATAAGTACGAAAGTAAGTTAGCACAGTTGTGAGACGCCGCACAGCATTAATGCGCTCAACGTTTGTGTGATGACAGGGAAATTTGTTTTCAGCTGAACGAGCTGATTAATGCAGTGCCTGGCAAATGTCATTTCAATGTGGGGGATTGATTACTTTCAGTGCGTTGGATTGATTTAGGGATCCTCCAGTGATGTGAGTCTGTATCGGTAAGCAGGTTTTTGCCAATCTTGATAATCAATCCCTGTTTCCGTCTCCCACTTCTGCAGCCGTAAGGGCCCTGCAGCTGCCGCTCCGCCTCCGCCCGGCCGACCGGCCACAGCGTTCCCGGGCAGAGCGCGAGCAGCCGATCACACTTGAGTTGTTTGGAGTGCCATGTCGCGCAGATGCTTCTGTCTCAGAATTGGGATAATAGCTTTCTTTGGGGGTGGAAGGATTAATTCTTCACACATCTGTCCACTGGAATGCAATAACAGATCCTTTGTTCAGGCTCTTTCTGTGGAGTGCCTTCTCCACCCTTGTTATTTCATTCTTCTTTTGCATGGCAAAACTTTTTGTCCTGCATTTCAAACAGATACTGAGCGTCCCTGGCAGTTGAACAAGAGAAACAAACTTTCCAGCCCTGTTTTTCATGCTGTTTTCAGGGGATGCTTGGTGATTTGAAGGGTATTTGATTGATTTTGGCAGAGGCATTTTAGTCTGTGGAAAATCCACAGCTCCTCTGATCCCTTATGGGTGGTTTAGGGAGCCCCTGGAGCCTCCAAATGAGAGATTTGCTGGTGGCCAGCTGGTCCTGGACGTGCCATGGGAACGCTGAGGACTCTGCTCTCGGGACGTGCGCCGTGGTGGGCAGGGAGAGGCTGTAGGGACGGTGCCAGCTCCGCTCCTGCCTAACCCACAGTGGGAGGGCTCGGGGCTTGGCCTAGGCATGGTTCTGCATGAAAATGAAGCCCCAGAGCCTCAGCCCTTGTCCTGCAGATGCTTTCCCTGCTGTTTGGAGGCTGGGTTGACTCTAACACCGAGGTCTTCTCACTCCAGCATATCGCAGCTCCAGCCCTAAACGTATGTCAGGGGACCCGACCAGGGTCGATGGCTCCATCACCAGCAAAAGGGAATTTAGCGCTTGGGTATTTGGTTATAATATCCCCCAGTCTGGATGTTTTTCCTGCTGCATCCCACTCCACAGAGATTATAGCAGTTCACCAACATAATAAAACCAAACAGATTCACATCGGCATTAAGGAGCAGGATTTGCTGTGCAGCGCATGGGCTCTGCGCATGGGGAGCAGCAGCAGACAGCAGCCTGGGGTAGCTGTGCATACATTTACCTATACTATTTTTTTTCCCCCCAACAGCCCTATTACCATATTTAAATGCAAGTATGTCTTTTTTTAATTGATGTTTTAAGTAGCTTCAAGTCACTCTAGCCTAGTTGTTCTCTGCTCCTTTCCCCCTGGTAGATTACCTGTAGCTGAGACGATAGTGCTAGAGGTAGCGGGCTTGTAGTCTGCTGATTTCTCTGGGTCTCGCTCTCTCTGTTCCTCCAGCTCGCTGTTCTCTTTTTCTGTTGCCTCAGTTGTTTTTCTGTGGTTCTTCAGCATTGCAAAGCAGCTGTGATCAATGTCCTGGAGCGCGCTCAAGGGGCATGTCCTGTGGCGGTGACTACCCCTGGGGTTGTCCTGTCGGGCGCCAGGAGCGGTCGGAGCTCCCCAGGGACCAGGAACCTCCGAGGGTTTTGTTGACTTTGCAGCAAGGGGGTTTGGGGTTCTTGCTGATCACCTGGACCTTGCCATTGCCCTCTTAAAATACGTATATTTAAAGTCAGAGCCTCTGGCAGATCTTTTTAATATTAATTAAGTAATGAAACTAAAACTGCAATCTTGCTAGCAGCATTTCATTCATCTGTAAGCGCTCGGTCCCCCTGTAGCAGGGTGTATGTCTTAGAGCTCCTTGATCTGCGGCTGTTTTGCTTTCAAGAGCTTTTTTTCTTTCTTTCTTTCTTTTTTAAATTACATTCCAGTGAATTTTTTCTGCTTGATCCCAGCAAATCTGTGATCTTGACATGAGGACCTCCTCATATTTTCCATTACTGCTATGTCTGTAGATCAGCACGTTATTATCACTTGCAAATAAGCAAAGAACAGAATTCCCTCGTTGTTTTGCGAAGCGGTCTGACCCTAGCCGTTTGAGAGTACGGAGACATAAGCTGAGCGCTGCAGGCTCTGCCGCCAGTCTATCTGCCCCGGCACCTCGGCTTTCGTGGCGTGCCGTGGCCAGGCGTGCCATCAGCGGCACGTGCCGCCACGTTCCTCTTCTGCCAAGGGGATTTGGGCCACCTTTGTGCCGGCAGAGACCACTGGCAGTGGGCACCCGGCGAGGGCTCGGCTCTTTCTAAAAACAGTGCCCGTTGATGGCATGGAGAGCCGGGATGGCGACCTCTGGAAACGCCGTGCCCTCGGCGGCCGCCCCACGCCCCGCAGAGACTCGCGGTACCCGCTGGCTTCTTTCTTTACCCTTCTCCTTTTCTCCACGGCCAGGTTTTCCGGCAGCGGCTTATGGACCAGTAGCAGCGGCAGCCGTGGCGGCAGCAAGAGGATCAGGTAGGGGGGCCCGTGGAAGAGCAAACCCTCAGAGTGCAGGGTCAGGTAAAAGCTCTGTCGGTATTCTGTGTGGCTGCAGCTCTCCATCATTTCTCTGATTTTCCTCACACTTATCCTGGGGACCTGAAAACAAACGATCAAAAAAAAAAAATTATATAAAAAATAAATAATCAATCCCAAACCAAACCCAAACTACAAGCAGAGGCCACGGGGCCTGGAGCACCTTGCAGGAGATTGATGTAAGAACTGCCAAAACCAGGGTAGATATTCTGATTTGTTTCTTTATTTATTCCTTTATTATGTTGGTTTCTTTGGTTTTTTGGTTTAAATTTGAGGTTATAAAGGACACCCCAAAAAAGTTAATTTGTGTTTTTGAAAAAAGTTTTCATTTCTCATGGAAAGCTGGCACTGGGGTGAGGCGGCGGCGGCGGCCCCGGGTGCGCGTCCTTGGCGGGGCATCCCCGCGGAGAGGGGACATGTCCCCTTGGGGACGGCGTCTTCTGCCTGCGCAGGGCGAACGCCGACGCTCGGGCTGTCGGCACCGAAGCGCCGCTGATAGTTCGCCGGCCCTGCCCGCTTCGAACCCCAGCCTGCTTTCATGAGGAACGTCAAAGCTTTTCTTCCTGTCCTTCTGAAAACTTTTATTTTTTTCCCCTTAAGGGAAATAAATAAATCGTTGCCAATTACCGTTCTTACCTTAGGTTTTAAATTTAGCTACACACGTGAATTAGTGCTTTGCTCAGGTAATTAAGTGTTCAGTACAGCCATCAGTGAGCTGTTGGCTCGGCAGCGCCCGCTGCCGCCTCGCCTCCCCGGCCTGCCCAAATCAAGCC